GGCCCCCTCAAGCCCAGCTTCGCATCTCCTTCTCTCCTTGGCACTGGGAAAGAACCATTCGCGGATTGGCGAGGGAGTAAGATCTCTATTCTGCCCCAAAACATGCTTTCGCATTAATGCAAACCCCTTCCAGCACGTCAACATCTCAGCAAGTTGAATAGGACCCGTAGGTTCCTCAAGGATGATCTGCCCTGCTTCCATTTTGCCAAGGATAGCCAAACTATACTAGTTTTCCTGTAGCCCGACGTCACACAAAGATGTATTAAGTGAGACATGTGGAAAAGGTGATTGAAAGTCCAATGCACGGCTTATTCCAGGGGGCTCTATCGGTGCTTCAACCCGTCTGTATGCATTTAGTCGACCTTCACTCTCAATCGTAGACACTCTGGAGTTCTCGTCGTAGTTAATGACTTCAGGGACCAGACATGATTAGTTCGGTGTGGCCATCCTTCCAAATACGAGTGCCTCTACTAATTGGCCCCAGAGACTAAGGGGAAACGGCCAAGACAATCGTAATTTGTCGCGCCCCGTTCGCGGCGATGCATCGTGTTGCAACTGCGAAACTCATCGCAGCATCACACATATTTCTGGCCACTTTCTTCCCCGTCTCTTTCGAATTCAACTGGCTAGGCAGAACAACTCGTCGTTCGAGGTCGCGTCGTCGCTTGCCACGCCCTCCTGGACGGTATAGCTTGAACTGAAGTAGGCTACCGATCTAAGGGTAACGTGGGTGAGAAGCGTCTTGAGAGTCCGTTCAGCATTCTGAAAGGGACAGTGCTTCCTCAAAGGGTTTAAATCGTCCAAATTCTCGGGTAAACGATTTGGTAGATTACCAGTAGAGACGATCATCGATCACAGCAGGGTCGTTGACTCATAAGTCTGACGGCAACAAATGGGTGGGAGGTTACGAAATCTCGTCAAACGAAAAAGCACAGCGCTCTTCATCCAACAGCTGGTCAATCGGGCGCCAGCCGGTTCACCTCCGATCAGCAGCTCCAACACAATAACCAATACTTCGAGAACTTTCTCTTCTCTTCTCAATTATCTTCAACTATGATTGGTTCTGTGAGTGAAACTCACGGGTAAACTATACTAATGGGTCTGAATTTCTATTTGTGGTCGTAGATTTCCAGAGATCCCTCCAGGGTCGAGTGTGTCATGGAGGTGAACTTCTTCTCCAATAAAGCAGTAGCTTATGCTCCACAAGGAGTTCATTGTAATTAAGTCTGAATTCTAATTTTAAATGTTTCTATATTCCATTTCCAATTGTTTCATTCTGAGGGCAGGTTATTTTAATAGCCAACGTGACGAGGGCAGGTCGCACGTTAGGATCTTAAGCGAGTGGACGCTGCAGGGAGGAGTCGTACTAGCCTCTTGCCCATTGAGAAAAATCTTTTCGTTGTTGACTTTTCTCGATTTTTCCTGTTTCAAGTGCGCCATGTGCCCCGGATTGTTGGGGATCCCCAACGGGAGCGGGGTAGTAAATATTTGGTCTGAGATAAATTTATTTTGATAGTTGATCTTTCTTGTTTCACGAAGATCTTTCTTGTTTTACAGACTTTGTAAAGAGGGAGGGGAGTTGTATTTCCGTTCATAAAAAGGTTGCCTGACTTGTCATGATTTTTCCTGTGTCATGTGTACTACACAGCCGTCCCCTTTCCGCTCGACAGCACGATGAAAGGGAAGAGGGCGTGGGGTTATAATCCCCCTAAAGAAAAGGGGGGGGTCGTACGTATTCGACCGAAATCCCCAACCAGTAATGCACCCTGAAGATAACGGTAGGATGCTGGAAAATGTTAGAAAGACGGTAGTTAGGCTGGGGATGGGGAATAGGGATTTGTACCACAGGCGGAAGTTTTGAGGGGGATGTACTTTGCAAAAAATTTCCCCCAGGACAGGACGTACACTGAGCAGGGCTCAGCCTCGATGTTCATTAATAGTTCCCAAGAGGTCAGCCGGAAGAGTTCGCAGCGCATTTGCCTTTGTTTGGGCTAATGAGTAAGCTCCCATTTGCGCAGTTTATTAGTGGAACATATGGTCATTGATGGCTTTTTGATTATTTCCCAAGAGGGATTGGTTTCCTACTCCCGAGTCGCTGCTATTCAAAATGAGTTCTTATTCTGACGAGAGAAGAAGAAGTTTATTTGAAAAAGTATTTAACGCATGAAAGGGCAAGATCGACAATTACCAAACTTTTACTAGGGCAAATACGGCTCCTTTCCTGCTCGATCGAGCTAACAGGATCCCTCTTCTTCACTGGGTTGTCCCTACGTGGAGCGTTCTTTGATGGAATATCCCCGGGTTCCCGAATTCCCTCTCAAAAGGTTCAACCCTTTTTTGGGAGTGTCTTGTATTAAAATGATCAAATGATTTGTAAGTATTGGCGGATATTAGGGAATATCAACGAATAGAGAAGTTTTCTCGGAGAAAAGGATGGTTTAGTAAAGCCGCGCTTCCTGTTTCCGTTGAAGAAGCGCAAAATTGGCCAATTCTTCATATTTTATGGGCTGCTTGTGGAAAGGGTAACCCAGCAATGGAGAATCTCTGCTCACCTTTTTGTGCTTCGGGAGATTACGACTTTGGATCCTGCTGAGGCAAAAGTGGTGTCGAAACTTGTCGTGTTTCTTTTAGCCTTTCAACATTGGGAGGGGCTTTATTAAGCGCACTTTTTGTCGTTTTTGCCTTCAGAAGCCTAGGAAAGGCCTCAACTGTTCTCAAGACAATTCCGCATAGAACGATATCGACCCTATAGAGTTCCGGCTCACCTTAACCCCCTATTCCTCCCCCCCCTTCTTATCTGTCGATATCAGCGCCAGGTCTTGGTCGACAGGCAAAGCTGATGAATAA